AACTATTACAAACCAGAAGTATGCTACTTCTATGGGCTGAGGATTCCAATAATTCTCACATTATAATTGTTTTGCCTGTTTAAATGTTTTATAAGCACTTTCCAGATAGTTATTTGCATTCTACAGTTAAGGTGGAGCAATGTGAGCCAATCATGGCTAAAAATCATAAAGATTTAGTGGCAGAAAAACATTTGTCCGAAAAGAGCTATCCATTACACATTGTAATGGCATAAAATGAAAACTGTGCAACTTACTATAAAATACTTATATATTTGACATCAGCATAAAAGGCTATATATAGTATGACGAAAATTACATTGCCCTAAACTACAGGTTAACGCAACTTTTTTTTTTTTTTTCCACATTGCATCTACCCTTAAGGGGTACAGATGGTATGTAGCATGCACCTTCACCCTTGGCCATCCTCCAGCAGTCATGGGCACGTTACCGGTATAAAGTAAAGTGTTACAGTTATCTAAACAAAAAAAAAAAAGCTCCGTTACAGTTACAAAGTTTCCAAAAATAACTTGTTACAGTTATCGTAAAAAAGTAACGTCATTACATTTGCATTACTGAACATAATAGGTAATGGATTACAACCAAATGATAAGATAACTTAATAAAGATACGAAGTACGGGAAAGTGTGTAACGAGTGGAAACGAGGTCCATTGACCATCGACGTCCATTCCCCATCTTCTTTAAAATGTACCAGACCCTGTTCGAAGTCTTGAGTCTGTTGAGCATACAAACCGTTGGGACCCGCATTCGCAAAACCCAAAGACCGCACACCTGTAGATGATCAGTGTGGAATCATCTACAAGTAGAATTGGAGGATTGCGAAGCGACATAATTAAATCGGCAAAACGGGCAGCAAAAAATCAGGAATGGAAAAATTGCTAAATTCAACTATGGAACACGTTCTTAAAGCTTTTTGAACACTGCTGGAAAGGGCATAGCTTTGATCATGATATGTGGTGTTTAACGCCCCAAAACCACCATATGATTAGGAGAGACGCCATAGTGGAGGGCTCCGGAAATTTCGACCACCTGGGGGGGTTCTTTAATGTGCGCCGAAATCTGAGCACACGGGCCTACAACATTTCCGCCTCAATCGGAAATGCAGCCGCCGCAGCCGGGATCCAAACCCGCAACCTGTGGATCAGCAGCCGAGTACCTTAGCCACTAGACCACCGCGGCGGGGCAAAGGGCATAGCTTTAACCTAAACAAAGGAGAGAGAGAGAGGACTTTTGGAAACGTTTACTAAAACATGCGTGACTGATGGACTGATCAACAACCGCTCACTTCTCCTCCTTTTATTTTTGTTGCTATAGTATACTGAGGATGCCACCTGCGTCGGTTGGTGACTTTGTTAATAATTGTTTTGTAAAGTCGATGTAGATCTATGAGAATCAATCGAAGGACCCCTGACAACGAAAGTTTTGTTGGCGGGTTTTTTACAATAATTTGTAGCTTTGCATCTGGTAAGGCTGAAATTATATCGTAAATGCTCTAACACATCATACAATCAATGCTAGCGGCGTTGATTCAGAACAATTTTGCGTCAGTTTGAAACACCTGCCTAAATACCGTAAGAAACTAGTGCCCCACAGCGGAGCAGCACCTGAAACAGTGCGCTAAAGTTTTTTTTTTTTTTTTGCTCTTTTGAAATAGGGGGACTCGCGTGTAGTGAAGAATGAAATAGACTTACAATGAAACGGATGATTTGAGCATGTCCTGCTCAAAAAAAAAAGAAAAGTATTCATGGCATGAGCAACCAAAGTCACCTTCAGAGCAGCCAGACAACAAAGTGAGAGAGGTGACAAACAATAGACCTCGCCGGGTGCCAGTCGGGGTGTTGTGCATATCCCGCAAATGTTAACCTCTGCGACGTCACAAGGGGAGCCCAGGTCTACGTAAAACCACAGAAAATGCCGATTACACCTGAACACTTGGAAGAGCACGCTCCCTTACTTTAAAACCAAATTAAAATATCTTTTAGGCTACGCTCGCCACTAATAATCGATCATAGATGGTCTCGCATGCAGGACTATCAAACAACACAAGCACCTTGAGTTTCAAAATTTAGTGTCAGGGGTCCCTTAAGAGAAGTTTTAGAAAATTTCTTCATTAGTTCACGGCCTTCTGGCTTTCAGCAGTTTCGCACTGCTGTTAGCTAGCCACCTGCTAAACACAATTAGCTCAGATGCTCAAGCAAAATAATGCTCCGCCGGCACACCAAGAAGAGCTAAAAGTGCAAGAGACAAATACATATATATATTTTCAGACTCACACGTACCCAAACCCAGTGGTCCTACACCTCTGTTACCCAGACATATATACATATGACTGTAAAGCACGTGGAGCAAAAGCGATGCTGCAGCACATGCTGTGGAAGTGTACCGGTAGCATGCAGCAGTCCCCTGTGAACTAAAGCTCCTAGAACTTCGTAAAGTAGCGACACTCTCCTCCTAGCTCGTTCTCCTCAGTCTCCTCTCCTTTGCACTCGCATTTCAAACCTGGCGCCACCTGCATTGCTCCTGAGTAGCAGACGTCCTTTCGCGAAGGGAGTGCTTGCTTGGCAGGCAGCGCGCTGAGAGCATTCACGCCAGTCGTCCGACTCATCCTAAAATTATCTTAACGAGTGTAGCCTTAGCCCATATAAGCTCTGTTTAGTGCCACGCAACGCGTATTTAGGATCAGGCCTTGATCAAGTCACTCCGCATCGCAGTGACCGGATGTTAACTTTGTGCGAATCACCCTTCAGTATGTTCTTAAACGTAAAAATGTGACCGTTAGTGAGAACAACCGTTTTTTCTTGACCCATTGTTTAGCGTGTCTCCGAATAAGCTTTAAACTGTAAATAACCGCTCAGACGTTCATGTGCGGCCGCCATTGGCTAACCTTTCTATTAGCTGGCGCGATAGCGCCTGAAGGAACAGTGCGACTGTCTTTCCTTACTCAGTGCATTGGTGGTGCAAGCTTCACCGTGTATAGAGTACACAATATGTGCAGAGAGCATTCACAGTGACTGTGATCCAATGAAAGCAACAACTCGCGTTCACGCTGTCGACGCGAGATGGCGATGTCGCCGACGGCCAATTTTAGCATTTGATGAGGCATCTAAAGCCTTAATGTGTCAGAAGGTGCATAGTTGATACATCGGACAGCTGTGGTTGTTTCGTGAAGTGGTTAGACGCACCAATCACATTTCAGAAGTTCGCCTTGCGGACGTATCTCACGAACGAACTATATCACCTAAAGAATGAGCATGCGTATGAATGAACTAGTGTGCCACCATACGCGATTACTTCGCAAAAGCTCCACTCGCTGATCTAAACCTTCACACGAAATAGGAAATAAACTATCGCGCGAAATGACATGTATATCTGAGGTTCCTAAACGATGCATGCATCCAATGACTCGAAGGCATGCAAGCTTTGCATAGCTACATGCCCTTGCATCGCGAGTCCCCCAGTTTATCGGTCAATGTAAAGGAGCCTAAAAGAGGGCAATTTGCTCTGAAGTATACGAGCCCGCAACAAAATCCAACGAAAAGTACCAATGTTTATTTGAGTTGCTGCATTCCTGTTTTGTTTATTCAAAACAGCAATGCGAAATCTCTGATGTTCCGTAACCACAATTTCGAGTGTTTTTGCATACATTTTAAGTGCACAAACCAATACTGCGAACTCGAACCAGTCGGAGCATATTGACAAGCAGAACACATAAGCATGACAAAAAAAAAACAGCCCCCACAGAAGCATTAATGAAACCTAAGCGAGCAATCGCGACATCCTGTACAATTAACTGCGACTTGTAGCAGAAGGCGTAACAACCACTCACAGCAATGAACCGCGAAGCCATTTGTGTGAAAAGTATTTCACAGCACAGCACACCCGGAAGGACAAGTTCTGATCTGCCAAAACAGATGCGCTGCACCCCAAGGAGTCCGTGCCTCCAGAGCAAAGATGGCAGTCACGAGCGATTGTAAACAAACAAACACTGTGAGCAATCCCACGTGACGACATCTGGCCATTACTGATGCGGCGCCGACGTCGAAGAGGTGGAAGGAGGGAGAGAAGAGAGGAGGGGCATGAATAACCACGTACATCGCTACTTTACGAAGTTTTAGGGGCTTTACTATGAACCGGGTAAACATGGCAGTCTCAAACCACGAGGCGCGATGACAGGCGGCTCTGCTCAGTCACGACCTAGCTGATCAACTGTGGGCAGTACGGCACACCCAGGAAGCCGCCTGTGCCCAAGGACTTGAGGCAGTCACCTAGGCTGGGGTGCTTGTAGCCCCAACCCACTAAATACCACCAGGCACTGTAAATAAAGTTTGTACTCACTAAATGTGCCCCCCACACCTACCTCATCCACCAACACTAAAAAAGGGGGGAGGGGGGGGGGGGCCAAGAACTTGCGACGCTGTTCAGCTGCAACAAGATTGATTTACAACATGGAGTTGACAAGTGAACTTCAAATATTGTCTTCTGCACGAAAGATATTCTTTTATAGAGAGGTGTTTTATTCTGTGATGAGAACCCTATTATGGTAATTTGAAAGGTGGCAAGAATATGGTAAAGAAGGAAGTTCAAACAAGTGAAAAGCGTCGGCCTTAAACAATTGTTGCTGAAAGGTGGCAAGAATATGGTAAAGAAGGAAGTTCAAACAAGTGAAAAGCGTCGGCCTTAAACAATTGTTGCTGTTTTGTATTTTTTTTATAAAAACAAAATTAACTGTAACAACATTTTGCATCACAGTTACTGTGTAAAAAAGTACCAGTATTACAATTACAAGTTTCTATAACTTTTAAGTAACTAGAGTTACAAGTTACTCAAAAAAATTGACTAGTTACTGGTAATACATTACTAGTAACTAGTTACTGCCTAAGACCACCCTCCAGCAGCTCTTGTTGAGTAAAGTAAGACTGCACAGGGCTGCTGAGAGATGGCATTCTTATGCAAATCCTGCACTAAGCAACATAACACTCACCTTCCAATTTTCGTGCAAACCGAGGCATGAAGTGGAACCTAGGGCACCCGTCCTTGTCTCCATGAGCCCGCCAGTCGAGGTCAAGCATTTCTAGCACTTCGAAGAACAAGTAACGTGTAAAGAGTTCAAGGCCTTCTACAGTGAAGTTCTCAGGCATTTGCTCTTCTATATAGAGTACTGCATACTCAATGTTGAATCTGATCTCTCGGCACGTAGGCAGCTTTGGAAGTGGCCAATGTGAAAGCAGAGAGAAGCCTTCAAATGCAAATTCATGCCCATCATGCTTGATGGTGGTAGGGCACTTCACCTATTTCAAGAAACAGAAAAAAAGATGACAGAAAATTTAAAACATCAATAAAATTATTCATAGCAACCACAGTTGTGGCTCCCAGTATAATATGCCATACTTCTGTTATAACATATGAACCATGAGATATGGGTGCCTTCATATCACATAACATGAGAAAATCTGATGCAAGCCAAGCCCATTACGAATCCTGCGCGGGACATCCATAATCAGGGTGTCTACCAATTTGATTTTTCCGAAATCCCCGACTTTTCCAGGTTTTCCATGATAATCGAAAGCAAGTTCCATGACCGGAACGTCTGGTAGGAAAACTGAGCATTGGAAACGAAACCTGGAATGGCAATATATATATATATATATATATATATATGAGGCACTCATATAAAAAATTAAAAAAGAAACATATTTACCGCACGTGCTCAATGTTCTGAGCGTGCGCGGTAAATGTGAAAAAATATCTACACCTGGCCAAAAATAAAACCTTTGCAGCAGTGAGCTAGCTGGCTGTTTGGTGTCTGAAAGAACCAGGAAGCAAACACACAAGTTAATAAAATTAATTGCAGATGAAAGTTCGAAGGAACCTGTTACAGTCCAACAACGCAGTCAAAGCTGCTAGGAAATGTGGAAGTGGTGCCATCTTGCAGCATCCATGTAAGGGAGGACACATGAGCCTTGCCGGTTCCGCCACTGGAGTATATTCCAGTTCACTATAGTGATTGTAGCCCACGCCGCTCAGGATGTGGATTGGATTGCATTAAATCAACCTGAAATGCTGTATTTACTGACTTACCTATTTAGAATGTGGATTAGATTAAATCTGATCCGACCTGGATTGCTGTATTTACTATTGGTTTGCATCCCCGCCTAATAAACTATATTATCAGCAAAAAGAGAATAAGTACTATTCGAATATTCTGGGCACCTTGCCTTAACAACAACTAACAAGAATGTTGCAAGAAGAAAGCCGTACGGCAAAATTTTCTTTTTTCCTGCGAGCATGTTGCTGTTCTATTTCTCAGTGCTCCAACGTTTGAAGTATTACAAAAGTCCTCGGACGCATGCTATGAAAGCTTGGGCTGGCGTTTGAAGTGCCGACGTTTGAATATGTGGTGGTAAGAAGAAATCTGTCAAGTTGCAACAGCTTCCCCGATTCCACAGATGAATCGTGAATGTCGGCATATGTTACCTTTGTTTACGTACTCTTCTATGAACGTGATGCTAAAAAATAACTACAGATTCAATAACACAATCTCAAGAAACTGAGACTAGAAATTTCACTGGAGTTAACCAAATGCTACATTTGAAACGCGAACTACAGTAGAATCTTAATGATACAAATTTCAAAAGAAGCACGTAAAATATTCGTATCGTCCCGAATTTGTATGAACCAAAAACAATTTATAGCTGATGTTAAAGATGAACAAGAACTTTATTGGCAACTACCCCTTGCTGAAAAAAGTCTGTGATGTTATTTTGAGCTTTCCTGCCTTCACCGTCTCTCAATAAAGTGCCCCGGTTTCCTCGCTCATGCTGCTGGCGCGGCGCGTTCACAGTTGACATCAGAGTGAGCGGAAGCGGCCAAACTCATTAGAAATTCACTCACTTCGCCGCTTAAGTGGGCGGAAAACCATGCCGTGAAGTCGACCTGAAAAAAATGAGTCCTGGAGAATTCACTCCAAAAAATTCAAGCGAAAATGCCACAGCAGCAGAAAAACCATGTCCGCGCCCGTCAAAAACGTTCACATTCGTTCTGTTCCACGTGTACATGCCACCCCCGCCGCCGCCATGGCCGCTCGAGAATTCATTCCATTTTCCCCGTTTCCTAAGCACTGAACTTCATAACGAGTTCTAATTATGCATGCAAGGCACTCAAAAGACGCAGTTTACACCTTTACTAACATTATTTTGGAAGACACGCCAGCATAAATGACACGAGCGAACACAGCTGCGGCAATGAATTCAGCTGACAGTGCAAAAGCAGGACACGGTGCATGCCAACTCGCTGCTGCTGCAACTTGGACGTGGTGCGTGGGCAGTTTGCGATAGCCCAGATGCGATCTACCGCCGATGCCTTTGCCGCCATGTTGAATTAGCGGCTGGTTGTTTACGTCACGTGGTTTGAGAGATAGAGCAGCCGGTGAAGTCAAAGCCATAAAGCAAAAAGGCGATATGCTATCACGTGGCAGGAAAATTGGTCTCGAACCGATTTTTTTCGAGTCAGCCTCGCGGCGTGGTTTTCTGGCTACTAAAGTGAAGAAAATTCCGATGAGTTTTGATGCATTCACTCCCTTCAAGGTCAAAGGTGAACAGGCCTTCCTCCCACAGACAAGCCGTGTTGCGTTGCTGGCGTACAGCGGTCGATCGCACATTTGTACTATCCATCCACAGTGGCTTGGAAAACCGTTCGTATAACACGGAATTTGGTGTATTTTATATAATGTAGTCGATCCAAAACAACCTTAAAATACGTACCATCATAAAATTTGCATCAACCGTAATTGTATCATCGAGATTATACTGTACCAGCAATAAGTGTGCAGCTGAGGACATTTGCTGTTGCATCACCAATAATAATAATAATAATAATAATAATAATAATAATAATAATAATAATAATATAATAATAATAATAATAATAAACAGCATAACATAGCCCTGCAAGCCACTGCTGATGGCAGTTCTAGCCTAACCAGAAGGCCTTCAAGTCAAGCCAAAATCGTTGCTCAGACATACAGGCCCAAATTTACAGATGTGAGTAATGTTGCAATTTAAAAGTCAGCTACGCCTTGTGATATGCAGAAGCAACAAGCATCAAAATAGTGCTTCTACCAACATGGAAGCAAAAGAATGCTTTAGTCAATGTGAAGGAGAAGTGGCCAAGCAGAGATTTCCCTGGTCTTGTTTATCATAGGCTGCCATATATTGTGACAACCATTACGTCAGTGGAACTGCTCATTTCAATAAATGGGATAACTCTTTCGTTACCATGCCTATTCAAATCGATCACCGGTGATCGACGCTTTTGGATCGTCTATATTGGCATGTCAGATTTGTTTTTCATGCACCCGGCATTTTCTAGTAGTTAGTCCAGCCACTCAACTTTCAGAATAAATTTGAATTTGCCCATTTTGGCAACATAGTAATTTTTGACAGACCTTTGAGCGAACCAATGAGGGTTTATTGTTGAAAAAGTGCAGTTGGCTGGCGAAATTGACAGAAGTGCATGCCCCTCGTGACTATGCGACAATAACATCAGAATTCTGTAATGAAAAGAGCCTTTGCAAGCCAAATTCAATTCAAGTGTCAGCTTCACAATTTTACAATGTTGAGCTGTAATTATTGCCAGAAGTTTATGCCAGCTATTCAATAGAGATCTGTTCCTAGGAGTCGGAGAACATTTGTTCAACAAAAAAATATTTACGAAGGTTCGCCGGGTATTTAAAGTGTCGAGGCAGCCTTCTCTAACAGTTTCCATCAGTGTTGGTTTTGCTTGCATCATTATATCAGACAAAGGGTATCATCTAGTGTCACTAATCGCTCCTATGACGCCGTTGTCCCGCACGCATGGGTACACATCAGTGCTCCAAACCACATGCACTGTTCGAAACTGCCTTGCAACCCCACCTGAATTAAATGAAGGTGAGCTTAGAGTTCGAGGATGACCGCACCTCAGCATCAAGTTTTATGGCGACAATGTTTTGCGTCAGCCTGAGACATTCAAAGCCGTTCATGGGTTTGCTTTGTTTACATCCTCAAGTTGTCTCCGCCACAAGTGCGTATAGCTTCTGACCTTTGTGCACAATCTTAAAGCTACTCTGGTTATGTGCGAGGACCACATTTCGCTGGGGCGTGGTGTGCTGGCGCCAGCTGCAGACCTTCTCTTAACGACAAGAAGGCCCCCGGAGCACATCTTGGCCCTGACTATGGAGTAGTGCGAAACGTTTTAGAACTGCGCGCGATATTGTCTTTTTTTAATGCGATGTACTCAAAAATGCAAAGAAATATGCTTGGATGCATATATTGGAACGCCAACCTATGCGAAGTGAGATGGCTCATGGAAAGAGGCGACGCTAGATAAAATAACGAAGTTCATTGGGCATCTCGTTTATAGAGGGATTATTCACATCACAGGCATCCATACATATTGGAACAACTGGAGACTTACCGCAACACAACAAAAAGTCACTGAGAAAAGTGTAGTTCACTTGTGCCTCACGAAAAACCATGCAATGCTTCACCGCATGGCACGAGCAATGAAGCAGCACCTTGGTTCTTATTTTCTTTGTCTTTGTGAAGAGAAACATTTTGTACAACATTATTTTTGTACTGTTCTTAGGTCATTCATCTACAAGTATATTCTGAATTTTCCTTGTTTTGAATATTTTTGCACATAGTGTTTTTTATTGCACTGCTTACCGTCTAACAACCAAAAATTACACACTTCTCACATTTTTATTCATTTTAAAATATTTTTGTTGCTCTACAACATATAATTTTTCGGAAGAGCATTTCATTGTGCAAAGTTTGGTATGCTGCAATGCTCGCTGGAGTACTTTACAAACTGGCAAAAACGATTTTCCAGAGACACATGAAAAACAACCATTTTCGTGCGGTAATGAAAGAGTTAAACAACACGAACATGACGTCACAAAACGATGCGTGGTCTCGAATACTCTCACTGAACATGTGGAATCTACAGGGTACTAAATTTACTGGTCAAGCATGTGTAATGTGGACAAAGAAAAGAAGCTTGCATCATGCCTACATCTGGTATCCAGATCCAGGAGTGATGGGACGCTTTTGAAAATGCACTCTCATTGCCTACGTCCCATACTTAGGCGTACTTGAGTACGCTGTGTCTTTCTTATGGCTTTTATTGTGAATAAGGCTCCCGTATTTGGCACCAAAACATCAGTAAACTTCAGTGTATCCTTATGTGTTTACCCTAGCAAACATTTATGCCCCATTTTTTTTTTTTTTCATGCCTTTTAACAGTTCACTGTAATTGCAGCCGACTGAGTCACTTATTAAGCTTTGATCAATGGTAACACTTATTTTTTTTAATGGTCGCACAGACCACTGTCAGTTTCCATGACCTGGCCAGGCTTTTCAGAAATTCCCTGACTTTTCCAGCAGGGTCCAACTTCCCCGACTTTTCCAGGTTATTCAGGCTGGTAGACACCCTAATGATTGCATGCCCTATACTGAAAAGAATTACCATAGACTCACAGTAAACAGAAATTTCTCAAACGAAACTTCTGTTTAATGCATACATAGTACCCTGCTTATACCTTATTGACTCGTACAATAAGCGCACTTTTTTCTCGCAAATATTGGATCGAGCTCGGGGTGTGCCTATTACACAGGACTCTGCTGCCACTGGAGACTGCTGTGTGAACCGAAGATAATGTGTGGATGAATAGTGACCTCGTCTGTGACTGGCTTCACATCATCTGGGAGAAGAGGACACGTGCCATGTTGGCACGGCGGTCCATGCTGGTGTTAGACTTGTTTCGAGGCCACTGCACTGACACAGCGAAACCACGCCTTACTGACCACCGCACCGACCTCGTGATCATACCCGATGGCATGACGTCCATGCTACAACCACTGGATGTGTGCCTCAATAAGCCGTCCAAGGAGCCCGTGAAGCGGCTGTATGCTAAGTGGGTAGCCGACGGGCTGTACATCCTCATACCGACGGAGGCCAGACATTGCGCTGCTGTGCCAGTGGATCGTGGTTGCGTGGCGGCCGATTCCAGCCGACATGGTGAGCAAGAGCTTAAAAAAGTGCGGCATAAGGAAATGCTGCGACGGCACTGAAGACGACTGCGTCTTCAAGAGGGGCGATGAAGCCTCGCATGGCAGCAGCGACAGCAGCGAGTTGGGCGATGATTCAAGGAACGGGAATCGGCCCCGTCAATGTTGCAGTGATCGCTTTCAACTAAAGTTATTTTGTAAACGAGATTGTGACTGTGCAGTTTTGACTTCCCAAAACAGTATTTTTGAAGCTAAGCCTGCAGGTTATACACGAGGATTTTTTTTCTCTTTTTTCAAAAACTTCAAAGTTAGGAGGGCGGGTTATATGCGAGAAAATACGGTATGCACATTATCCCAACTGAAATTTGGTGCGCTGAATGGTACCGATTGTTCATTAAACAAAGACATTACAATTGAATTGCAAACAACCATTCAAGTGTTGCAATTGCCACCCATGCCCCCTTTCCTTCAAGTAGAGCCACCACAAAAAGTTACAGAAATTCCATACAAAGCCGCAACTGATTATCCGCCACAGCCAGTGAAAAGCAACCAAAGCTGACCAGGCCAATCAAACACCCGTGTACTTCGAGATGGCCATGGGATGGTTCGGCATGTTGTCACAGGGCGTTTGTACGAGACAACATGAAGATTAGACATCGGAAAAATTGCACTTAAGCACTGATCCAGAGAAGCACGTGGGATAAAATGTTTAGGGTCGCGGCAGAGAAATTAACAGCGACAAAAGTTCGCCGAGCTTGTGCATAATGCCAGCAAAGGCCAAAGCTCGCATCGAAAAGCTGTATAGCTTTTAAATTTGTGGATAAGGTAGCCAACGCGAAAACGACGACACTTTTCCCGACAGAAAACTTGTCTCTTGTAAATGCACTTGATGAGGACGCAATCGCACGTTCCATGTGAAGCGCAGAGCTACGCCAGTGCAGGCGCATTATTTTTCCTAACTGGTAGACACGCTAAAGTAAGAGGGCATCGACTTGCAACCGTGCAAATACGGTACAGAAGTACTGATCACAGCCAAGTTCAAGGTGCACTAAATACAGTAGAGACACTTCATAAAAAACACAAGAATTGTTGCCCGGTGCAAGTCTCTTAAAAAGTGGTTCATAGTGTGTTTCAGCCAACGCACAGCCCTTGTGATGTGGTTTAATGTGCAAACAAGTCACAAGCCTTTGCGAAATGGCCGAAACTTTGAAGGAATCAGGATAAAAGCGCCCCGCCTATTTGGTTGCATTTACAAAAACACTGCTGGAACCAAAATATCACAAAAAAATTATTTGATTATTTAAATATCTTTTTTTTAAACTAGAATCTATGAGCAGCTGATGGGTAGTTCAAAAAATGTTTTATTAGGGCGGAACTTTCACTGTTGTGGATTATTATATTTTTGCATGATTCGACCCCCTTTAACGCCCCCAGGGTAGTTTACTGTAAAATGCCGAGCAAGCCCCTACAGTGATGGATAATGCGACCGGATATGAAGGAGGGGAGGAAGGGCTTGCTCTGCTCCAGGCCAAAATTCAAGATGACGGTGGGAGAGCCGCTAAAAATAAAAAATGCCCATCCATGCTTTTAATGAAATGCTTTTTTATTTACATGACAACGAAATTTTATGAATGACATTAGATACGCATTCAGTGTACTCATTTTTGTGGTTCTTTTTATACAGACGATGCTCAATGTGTAAAAAAAAATGGCCGCAGAGGAGGGGGGGCTAGATCGGCATTTTACGGTGACGAACTACCCAGCTCGAGTATATAAATAAGGGCAAAGCTTCTGGAATAATTTGTCAAAATCTACACTTCTGGAATAATTTGTCAAAATCTACAACCTGAGCTTTGGAAAACAAATGACACAGTAGCAAGGCGCTGCAAATACAAGCTCGAGAAAGATGTACTTACAGAAAAATTGGTACGTGGAGTGACTACAATACGATAATGGTGCAAACGCCCAATGTTATTAGTGTTGGGGTCACAAGAAGTGAGCGGCTCCTCCCCAGGATAAATTCCATGCCGAATGCCTGATCGCTGAGCCTTGGCACTGCATCGGCACAAAGGGCCGTCATTCATCTGCAAGAAAAATAAAATGATACTCTTGTTAGGATAAATTCTGGTATCTTGAAACAGCAGTTAGCACTTTGCAGTCCTAAATTTCCGCCCACATTACCACTAGTTCGATGCAAAACTTTTTCGATATTTTTAGATGCCATGTCAAAATGCAAACATATCTATACAGACAGCAAGTAGAGTAGATCCCGGATATATCAAACTCTGGTTTATCGAATTATTGGCTGCATTGAACAGTTGAGAAATCCCCTTAAATTTCCCATGCAAAAATATAGGAGCAGTGAGCCCGTATATCGAACTCCCGCATCATGGAACATCCAATGTTTGCAGCGAGATCGGGCTATAGGTGGCAGCATGGTCCCGCGCAAGTGTGGATAGGTGGTCGGCAGCGCATATATAAATACAAATACACGCAGCAGCGCTTCGTTGCATCTGGTTTGAGTCGATCGTCGGCGAATAAAATGCGATGACTACAGTTTATGTTAATATCTACGCTCTTCTCTAATAAATCGGGGCACGCTGCCTATGCAACATTAACATTACCCGCGAGTAAAGCGCATTCTGCCTTTCATGGGGATGCTCGTCCTGGGTGACTCGATCTCATTATGCTTTCACAATAAATCACGTCATTGCTTTGTTGTTTGTACGTGATTAGCTTGTGTTCCGCCTGCTACTCATGCTGGAGCGTGACTTAACAACTTTTGTCATCTTTTGTCAATTTTTGTCATCTGCATACTACAAAAAAGAGCGAAAGAAAGATCGTAGAAAGGCCGCAAATCTGAGCGATTCGACCAGTACCACCGTTCGCACCTTATACTCATATAGTGATTTTTTTCTCTTATTCTGTTCACTATGAAATGTGGGACAGACGATAAGTCTAGTCAGTAAAGATTAGTGGCTGACGCCGCTTTGACGACACATGTGCGTACACCATGTGTACGCACATATTCTTGCACCAGAACAAATATAAAATTATATATATGAGTTCAGCAGAAAGCTTTCATTGGTGGATTACGTTCATGAGAGTGCTACAACAAAGGCCCGATTAATGGGGCAAGCGTGTTTTTTTTTTTTTTTTCAGACAAAAAATTACCACTGCCTTTCGTCGGTCACTAACAATGCCGCACAAACGCTGAAAACAATGTAAAAAAGATAAAATTTTCAGTGAAATTATACGAAATTATATATAAGGCATGCCGTCTGAATTAATTTTCAACGTCTGGGCTCCTTGAAGCTTGTTTAAATCTAAGCACACGGTTGTGCACGGTAACTCCGTTTTAAGGGGAGATGTGTTTCGAAAAACGCGAGTTTTTTTTCAAAATTACCGATTTTTGTTTTCGCCTGTTTTGATAAGATTAGTACCTCTACTGTTATGAAAAAAATAATACAGGTCGAGACTTAACTGGAAATGCTTTAAAATTTTACCTAAAAACACAAGGTGCCTGTTAAAAGGTCGAAAGTGTGCAGTCTTAGAGCACCTTGCCGTCGATAATGCGCCCCGCTAGCCATTGCAGATCGCATGAGTAGAAGAGTCGAGATCGCATGAGTAGAAGAGCCTCACTTTTCAAATAACAACAGTTTCTCTTGCTGATGCAGCGCAAGAAATAATAAAAAGAATCACTCTTATGCGCGTTTTTCGAGTGCCGCGACTGGGTTATCACATGGTACGAATCGGGGACCGCCATTGGCTGCTGCGCGCCTGTACGTGCAGTGAAACCTATTTGCGGGGTCCATGTCTTGTCGGGCAGCGCAGTTGAACGATGCTTTTCTCGTTTAATTATCTCCGTTATGAATGAAAAAAGGCATTGCTCGCAAGTGAAAGCCGTTGTGCGGCGCGCTCTGTAGGAATAGGCTACGAGCAGCTGGTGCGACTTGCGGCAGTTGGCTTGCAAAAGCCAATGCATCAAAGTCATTCACACCCGTCAGCTGGAAAGTTCATGATGCAGCAATGGACGACGTCAGCGCCAATCTTGACAGGTCGAAAGAACTCGCAGTGAGCGAACGTAGCAGGGATGACATCGCCATTATGTACGACGGTATGTGGCACAAACATGGCTGCAAAATTGCATGACACTGGACTTAGTTTAGATTTCGCAGTCCTGTTGAACTTCTTCCTAGCTTGCAGTTGGCACAAGGCTCTGCCAGATGGAGCGCAAGTTTGGCAAGCGTTTCATGGCCCTGTCTGTGAGTGAAATGTCTGTGAGGAGTAGGCTCGAAAACGCCGAGAGGGACAAACTCGTGGTGCTGGCGTATTTTAGTCGCAGTGGCCACTACAAGAAGGATTGTTCTTTTTGGTATGCAAATTTCATCTGATTTAATGATATCTTTCATAAATAAAAACTCAGTTTTAACTTTAAAACTCGTTTTTCTCAAAACACAAATTTTGCCATTTTTTCCAATGTGCCCCTCCTTTTTCGGGCACTTCTAGTGCTCGAATCTGCATGAAATTTTGCCCAACTTTTTCCAAAGTATGACAAATGCAATTATCTAGTTTAATTTTCAATATTTTATTGTATAATAAAAAATTGTATGTATACCATTACTAGGATAGGTGAAATATGGACTTTTTACGTCTATTATTTTTCACGCGTATTACATATTTTGTATGTGCTTCCTAATTAGTTATTTGCACTTTACACTTTATTTGAAGCATTATGAACTACGAATAGTAAAAAATTACAGAATTTTAGAGATGAAAAGAGGGGGGCAAAAGGGTTAAGGTTTTCACTTTGTCAGGTTGCAGAGCTAAAAGTGTGTAACTTGTAAGAAAACTAATTATATATTTGAAATCAGCATAAACATTTCCATAAACAGCTCAAGTTTCATTTCTTTAGGGCGAATATTAAAAAAAAAGTGTCTTCGAGTAGCATCTTCCCTTAAGTACCGTGTAAGTAACCGAAGTCTCGTAGTTTGTGTGATAGTAATGTTTACATAGAAATATTGTAATATTTATATGTAATGGTACTACGGCTCGGTAAACACAACTAAGGCTTCTCGCATGATCGATAAACTACAGTGCCGTGGTTGTACACCTACCAACATGCGCAAATGCATGACCTATAAAGCCATTTTTTTAGTTTGTTTTTTTTTTCAAGCAAGTTGCCATAAAACGCTGCAATCACACAGCATTTAATGGTCCTCATGTTTGGGAGGATGCCAAGAGCATTTTGCGATGTGCTTGAAACAGAAAGCAGCACCCACTGTGAAATTATATTGGTGAATAGAAGGTACGACGACAATAAACAGCACTCTTGAAAGTTGCACTCGCCGATCTTATTACAATGCATTAGCAGCCGAGTTACACTCACGCTGACATGACCTGACAAACCACACTTTGAGAACATGCATGACGTACGCGCACTGTACGCGCATATAGAAACACGACGCAAGGAGCAATCCACACTTCACCGTTTCGGCCAATTGCCGCGAGGTGGCGACTCTGCTCGATCTTGCGGCCAATATCGAAAGCTGCGCCGCATCAAAGCCCAGAAAATGCATTCTTCCTAGCAAATATTGATCAATTATCGGTCATGTTTTAACAAGTTCCGATTCCTTTTCACGTGCAGGTGACAAAGAAGCGATGTAAGTTTATCGCCCTGATTTGGTTTGTTGCGTGGCGCTTGCAAGTGCACCGGTATGTTTGATGCGCGACCTGCAGGTCTCAATGCACAGGCGGAGCGTCCTTCAAAAAGACCGATTGCTGAGGGTGGAAAAAATGAGCATGCAAAGTGACTCTGCAATCTTGTTTCAATGTTTGCATTCCCTATCTTTTTTGTTAGTGCACAGTATGAAGCGATGAGTTAACGAGGCTTATGGCCTTCGAGATGTGCAACCTCGTAACGTATTTTGGTATTCTCGGTTTTAAAATACATGTCTCGGAGGCTACGTTTTTTCTAGCTTTTTCCCATCAAAGCAGCGGCTGCCAACTACAAAGTCACGAGTGACATCGATATCGCCTACATGCCGACGGTGGAAACTGGGCATGGAGGAAGGAAAGCCAAGGAAGGCCCTCGCAATGCGACCTGCAGAGCGAATAGTGTGGCGGAAGTAACATGCTTTTGCAGGGGGTTGTGGGAATGTGTGGGCACAGCAGCGTCTCGTGTCATTCACATCACCACTCATATGACCACGTTGTCGATAGCCGGCTGGAGTTCTGAGTGTGAATTTTTATGCAGCTGTTATGCAGCCTACAGTGAGCATTGGTCTTCATGGTTGCGAGTTTGGTTTATATCACTTGAGGTCGAAAGCGGTCGTTCTTGAAGCTCGCGACCACTTTTCCGAAAATGGTTGGCGCCACAGCTTCGTAGCTTTCCTTCGGCACTGTGCTGTTGTGTGCCTCAGGGATGAAACCCTAGAATTCTTAGACAAGAACGATAGCGTATACGGCTCTTAATGCCAGAGGCAACAGGGAGCTGTTCTCGTGTACAACGGTCACAACTATTGAAAAGCAGTACGTGGGCCACTGTTCTCACCGGAGCTTGCCGAGTCAAGAATAAGACGTGCCTGACACAGTACGGTGATTTGTTGTTTGAATAATCACTTCCTGTTTACGTTTTGTACGAGGTAACCTCACTTGGCCAAGTTTTTGTCTATATGGTCGCAGTCGGCCAACCCATGCCGCTGTGAATGATACTCGTGTGTAGGTATAGTGACACACATGGTAAAGAATAATTCGGAGGTGCTTCATCACGCAAGACAAATTAAATAACATGTCACTGTTACATTATTTTCCATAGCCCAAACTTACCATATCTGAAAAAGAAAAAAGCCTATCATGGTGAATATCCAGCTGATTTACGCTGTTGCTTCCTTGCAATCAACAGAAATAACAAGAAGTGCAAAACTGCAAATGTATTGTAGATCCACAAAAGGAGCCATAATGAGGCTGCGAAAAGCATACAAGTGCTATTCGTGCCGAGATCGAACTATAGATAACAGCACTTTCCCGCGAAAGTGTGGATAGGCGGTAAGGCGGGGCGTGTACAAATACACACAGCGCCACT